GAAATCTCTCCACCTTGCGTGGTCTTGCTGGGGTCTACAACACTGGTCTGCCAGTTGGCTGGGCTGTGGTGACTTGGGTGTTGTTAGGGTGCTGGAAGCTGCTAGGAACACCACAGCATGAACTTCGCTGTCAGACACATGAGGGTTTTACATTTCAGCTCTGTCTTTTATTGGCTGTAATTTCAGGCCATTTACTTTGTCTGTGTCTTAGTTTCCTCTATGTAGAATGGGATAGTTATACCATAACAGGGTGTGGCAAGGATTAAATGAAATATTTCTATATGTAAATAATTTACTACAGGGCCTGGCACAGAGTAATGATCAGTAAAGGTTATCCATATAGCTACATACAATATTTCAGATATATTGTCAGGAGGGACCAGTCGCTGGAAAAGGATATCATGTTTGGTGGGGTGGGGGTCAGAGGAATGGAGGAAGACCCCCAGTGAGATGGATTGGCAAAGTGGCAGCATCAATGGACTCAAGCATGGCAAGAATTGTGAGTTTGGCCCAGGACCGGGCAGTGTTTCGTTCTGTTGTGCATAGGGTCGCTTTGAATTGGTACCGACTCGATGGCATCTGACAACAACAACATTATTTATATATATATTGATTGTAAAAAGTCAAGCAAGGCAGCAAAGTATAAAAGAAGGGCATTTATCTCTGGCATCTGTATCTTTGAAAACTCTATTTTTAAGCAAATAGGATAGTACTGCATATACAATTCCATACTCTGCATTTTGTCTTAAGGATATGACAAGATCTTTTTGTGTCAAAACAAAAAACCGATTTACATCTTCAGTTTAACTATTTTTATTGTTATTGTTGGGAACACGGTGTCTCCATAGGATAAGCACTGGACTGTGAACCACAAGGTCAGCAGTTCAAGCCCACCTGCCACTTCATGGGAGAAAGATGTGGGTTTCTGCTCTAACAAAATGATTTAAAGCCTCGGAAGCCCTATACAGCATCACTATTAGTCAAAACCGACTCTAAGGCACTTAACACCAACAATTATTGGTATGAAGTGTGGTCAAGTCTGTTCTGACTCATGCAACTGTATATAGGGTTTCTAAGGAGTGAATGGTGGGTTTGAACTGCTAACCAGTGATTATTCTACAGCACCACACCAGGACTCCATTTTAATTATGTTGTTGTTAAGTGCCATTGAGTCTATTCTGACCCATAGCAGGCCTGTGTAGGGCTTCTGAGGAGCAGCTGGTGACCTTGAACTGCTGACGTTGTTCAAACTGATTTTGCAGTCCAGTGCATTAACCCACAGTGCCATAGGATAGTTTATTCCAGAAATAACTGAATCATTTCTGTATCTGGGACATTAGGTCAGTGAATCTCAGACCATAGGCCGTGGCCCATTAGTGAGTTGTAAGAGGAACTTTGTAGGTTGCAAGCAGTCTTTTTAAACAATGAAGTAGTATAGAAAATATTGAATGTGTTGCAGATTATAGGAATGAATATTTTATTAACTTTTGTATGTTGCGTGAATGTATTACACTGTAACATAAAGTGTATTTCTTATTATGTCAGAGCAAGTTTGGAAGCTGCTGCTTTGGATTTCTATTTTGAATTTTGCAGGATAGTAAATGGCTTTTGGACATTTGTCTGATCTTTTTCTTTCGGTTAACTTGCCCAGAGGTGGGTTCCTTGTAGATTTCTGATTTAGGGGAGAGAGGTTTTCATCCAATGAAATCTCTCCACCCCATCCTTAAATCGAATTGTTTTCTTCTGCAGTGGAGAAAGCTAGGGCTGTTGGTTACCTAAGCTTAGCACCGGCCACCCTGGAGGACTTGGGAGAGCTGAGCATCAGAACCGGCCATGAGGCCCAGACCGCATCCACTCTTCACACTCACCTTCCTCGGGTACTTGTACGGGGCCGTCACTGTCTTCACGTGCTGCTGCAGCTCCTTGGTGAGCTGGTCCTGGTCATGGGACAGGAATTTCGGGTCCAGGACGATAAATGCCTTTACCACCTGTTCACGGGAGTGAAGTCATGGTGAATGCCCACAGTGTTACCCGACCCCAAGCCCTGAGTGGATTCCAACCCACAGTGACCCCACGGGACAGGGTAGAACCGTGCTACAGGATTTCCAGGGTTCTACGGAAGCAGGCTGCCACCTCTGATCCCATACTGACCTTTTGGTTAGCAATCAATAGCTTAGCGGAACTCTTATTGTATGTATGGTTCCTTGCATGGAACCTGGTGAGCAATAAGGGTGGGTAACTGAGGATGAGGATGTATTTGATCAGTTCCTGGAGTCTTGTTTTTCACCAATGCCTTCAGTGTAACTTGGACTTCTTTATCATGTGGCACCTCTTGAAATAATTGAACATTGAACAATTCCTTTTGGTATGCTGCTGTTGCTGTAAGTACCGTCGAGTCGGTTCTGACCCATAGTGACCCTCTGTAGGGTTTCTGAGGAGCAGCTGGTGAGCTTTAACCATCTACCTTGCAGTTCAAATGGCTTTGCAGTCTGGTGCATTAACCCACAGCACCACACCAGGACCCTATTTCTTATAGTATGTTGTTAAGTGCCATTGAGTCGGTACCAACTCATAGTGACCTTATGCACAGCAGAACGAAACACTGCCTGATCCTGGGCCAACCTCACTACTGTTGTCATGCTTGAGCCCATTGAAACTGCCACTTTGCCAATCCATTTCGCTGGGGGTCTTCCTCTTTTTCTCTGATCCTCCACCTTACCAAACAT